TGACAAGAATTAACTTGGTAAATTTTTTAACATCTGTGTAATAATTTTTAACACTCTTAAATATTACATAAAATTGTTAATGTCTGTAAGTTAACACTTATTGTTTATTTGGAGCAGGAATTCTCACCGTTTGTATGTTTTTCCTTGAATATATATTGGATTTAAAAATTGTTATCATTTTAAATTTGTATTGCATGGCTGAGGCTTGAACTGTAGATCTGTGCAGATGGGGCAAACACCCCATTACTGAGCTCCACTCCTAACCTCTATATTTTGTGTTTTTGAGTATTAATAACTGTTTAGAATATATCTTTAGGAAGAGAATGGACATTTAACACATTTTTCCTGTTTGTAAAAATATTAAATACTTCCATAGCAGCTGGCTTTTAAAGGAGTCTGAGTTCTATAGTTGATCGTATTTGGGGACAGTACAGTAAGTGCTACAGTCTCTTTCTTAGTGGAAGAAAACATGCTTATGAACGAATGGGCTTTAGAATTAACTCCTGTTTAATAATAGCAAGAGCTTGAAATGTTTTATAGGGTGTTTCTTACATCCATTCAACAGTGTTGCAAACCTTGAATCCCATGACCTTAATAGTACTATATGGGGAGGAAATTCCTAAGAATTCTGTGTAAGCAGTATAATAAGGGAACATTTTATCTAGGTTGGCATAGAAGTCTTAAAAAGTTATAAGGTCTGTTTTATTTGTGTTTCCTGTTGGATGGACAAAAGTTTGTGGTTAACTGTTGTTAAAATTGTATGGAAACTCCCTTTGAATAATGTATAACATTTCCTCATTTTATATGAATGGTAACACATTAGTCAGAATACATATCCAGTGAATATTATTGTTCTTTTGAAATGACAAGAGGTTATGGTAAGGTGTATAAAACTTTATAAAAAGCCATTTTAAATCATTAAACATTTTATACAGTTGAGACTATCAAAATATTTTACTGATATTTATTTAGAAAATATTAAGTATTGGAGCTTACTGTTATCTTTAATACAGGGGCTTAGTGCCAGTTTTGTTTTTGACTTTTTAAAATCTTGAGTTGGAGTTAAACAGCTTTGCTTCATTGTATAGAAGAGAAAAATATAATTCATTAAGCTAACCTGTTAGGAAGTGTCTGCCTAAACTAGCATTGGGTTGGCCAGTATCCATTTAATGACAGGTCTGGCTGACTGTGAAAAATAGTCCTGCATTGTCACAAATATGGTTTTAAATTCTGCCGTACGATTTCTTTCACCTTGGATTGATGGCGTGTGTTTGGCCACATCTGTAATATTTTTGGAAAGACACGGCAGAGGTTTACTGTTTCGGTGAAGCGTTTATATAAACATGTCTCTAAAGACTTGTTGATAGCATTTGCAGTCTCAATGCTGATGATGAACGCACACAGCTTTCCTGTTGCCCTAGGCTTGTCATCCACGAGTATGCCGGCACAAGTCTGAAGCAGCATGGGAGTTGGTGTGTATCTGGTGTGGAAATTACTTTGAGATGTCCCCTTGTTCTGCCGTCAGTTTCCAAGTGTGTGTGGGGGCTTCATTAATCATCGGAAATGCAGAAATAAAGAATCCAGTCCCATTGGAGTTTTGATATGAATACTTACCTTTTCTTTTTTAATATATATACAGTTGAGGTATTTGGGTAACCCCTAACCTTTTGCTTTAACAAGGAAGCACAGTATAAAAATATTACCACAGTTTTCATGCAGGCAGCTCTTGAGAGGTGGGGAGAAAGCCCTCAAGATGAATATTTTTGAAAAAAAAAAGTTGTGATACAGAATGTCTTAACTCAGCCCAGTATAGTACTTGAGGACCACCAGTGTGTAAAATTGAAAGCACATGAGTTCTGAAGCACTAGAGAGGGCTTGTAATTGATTAGCGCTGCTTGGAAGTATTGAAGTACAGTGAGATTTGATTTGTGAATGGTTCTATTCAATAAAGATTAATTCTGCGTTTTTGATAACATCTTAGTCCCCTCCATGAGTCAGCCCCCACCCCTCAGTCTTCTCCTAATAAGCTGGAACATTTCTACCTTACGGAATTCAACTTAGCACAACTGAGTAAAACAAGTCTGACCCTCAGTGATTATTAGCTTGAAGGGTGTAATTGAATAAATTAATTATTTTTGTTTTACTAAAGGAATTAAAATATGCTATAATGTGATTGTGTGTATTTCATTCCCTTCTCATGACTTAGAAGCTATCAAGAAGCTCATTGAGACTTAGCGGATCTTTTTCTGTAATTTCATTTACATTTCAAAACATCTTTATGACTTAAAAGTGAAATCTGTATTAATCTTGTAAAGTGGCATTATTATTAGCTTGGGAGGTAGTCTCTTTGGCCATTGCTTGGCAGTTTTAGTTTGAAATAAATTCCAGAGTAGCATTCAATGTTTGTTCTTTTTAATTCTTCTCTCAGGATTATCAAACTTATTCTATTATTTGGGAAACAAGTTGCAAAATGTGTTCACTAGGGAATCATGAAAGTACAAAATGATTATTATTGATGGAGACCACAACTATTGTTTTGGAAATGACTGTTTACACATCATGGTTTATCAGAGACTTTGGTCTGTTATAAGGGTACTGTGTGGAAACGGATCCAGTCAGCTTATGATTTCATAAACGCGTCCTTAATAGTGAGATACTTGAGTCAATCTTCTGTTTCAACAGGATTTATTCATATTAAGTAATGATTTTGAATAGCCCAGATTGAAAATCTTGATTAAAGTAGGCAGGGATCAAGGACACTGGGACTCTTTCCTCATCTCTCAGATTGTTCCCTTGTACCCCTCCCTCTCTGCCTTCCCTCACAGTGGTTGAGGTAAGATACTCAGTAAGTGTATGCTTTAGGCCTTACCTAAACTTTCTTTAACCATCTTACAAAATTGGCACATGTACTAGGACATTGTGTTAGGTGGTTATGCTGAGCACTGTAAGAATCTAACCCTGGAGGGACGGGATGATAACCTGGAACGGTTGTCCACTCCTCACCTGTAATTAGTCTGCTGGAGCAGGTTCACAGTAAGTTCTCTAGCCTGTCCTAAGGAACTGTGTGAAGGAGGAGGAGGCAGGGAAGATGAGAGTCACTTTCCGGAAGAGAAAGACTGGTTATAGTGTGAAAAAGTAGTGCATGCTATAGAAGATGACCTTGATTTGTCTTTTAAACTTGGTCAGGTATTGAAATTTTAAAACAGAATAGTCATGAAGAATGTCACAGAACTTTAAGACTCACTCTCACTGCTGTAGGACAGAACAAGGATGTTTCAATATGTTCTTTGTGACAGTTCTGCCTCCAGTGCTGAAATATCCCTTAACTACTTGATGTGGCCGCACCATGTAATCCCTTCTTGGAACAATAGCCTTAATGTGGGTCTTTCTTGCCTCTCAGTTACCAATAATAAATCTTCTGCTGTGTGAACTGTATGTATAATATGGGAGTATCCTGGGGTATAATGAGATCTAGTTGTAGTTATTTTCTGCTTCCTAAAGGCAGAGATTTCTTTAAATTTTTATTTTATTTAGGCAGAGATTTTAAAGTAGTGCTTAATGCCCACTATTGAAATTATAAAATCACCTATGATTATTACATTGCATACATTGTAACTGAGGTGGCCTACTTTTGGCTACTGTGGGAGTCATTACAACAATTTTACATATTTTAAAAATAAAAACATAAAGTAAATTTCTTTATCCTTTAAGAGAACCCCCTTCCCCCTTTTTAGTTTTAATTATGTTTTTTTTTTTTTTTTTTTTTTTTTAACTGAAGTTAAGGTGAACCCTCTCCTAGGAGCCAGTTAAGATGTGTGAAGGAGGAGGAGTAATGGGAACTCCAATCGCTAGTTTGAAAATTCTGCAGCTACGTTAATATAGGTACACACAGGCAAAGGATTTAAAGGCTAAAAAGACAGTCTCTAAAATCTGCCGTGAAGTGGGGACATGTTGGATATCGTAGAGAGAATCATGTAAGTGGACATTTTACTACAATCCCATGAGAGTTGATGAGGATTGAAGCCCTTTACATATCTGTATCAGCATTCACTGAAAATTCAGTATTAAGAGACTGCATTATGTTTGTTTTGTTTTAAAAGTCGAGCATGATTTTGTCGGCATGGCTCTTTTAAATCCTTCAGGGTATCCTTGTGAAGTTTATTTTTCATGAGACTAAAAACGGTATTCATTTTTGGTAAGTCTAAGAATGTGCTCAAAAGAATCTTAAAGGTTTCAATGTTTGCTGTGTGTTTATAACAAGTTCTATGTGGGAGCAATAGTGTGTAGATATAAAATTAAATTTAAAATTATCTGAAAAGTATAGTTTCATGTATATTCAATGTCCTGAGCAACTGGAGATCTTTTCAGAACAGCTCTGGTGTTCTGAGAATGCTTCTAGTCTAGTTGAATGTCTGCTTCAGTCACAGAAAATTGTTTAGAAACAAGCTTACAGAGATATTTGAAGACAGCTTCAGACGGTAAAGAGAATCTTTTCAGTGGAGCTGCTTAAAATGTTAACTTTCCTCCAGGTTTTCTCCCGTGTCACACACGCTAGACCATAATGTTTCGATAATTCTGTGGTCTGCTATTTTGTAAAATTGCTTCCTTTTGGAAATTTGTTTCAATATTGGGAGCTGCCGAGTCAATAACTTAACAATACTTTGATTAATTCAGCATCTACTTTTATTCTAGTGAGGTTCATGAGGATATTAAGCTTTACTGTTTTTTACCATCCTTGTTTCTGTTACACTGGAAAACATTTTGATTAACATGAGCTCATTTAGTTTTGTCGATTTTTAGCCGTTACCCTGAGAGTGATTACACATGCCAAGTGCAAATATTTACAGCAATTTCATTCTTCAATTTCTAGTGCGACAAAATAGCATCATCATGATCTTTAACATGCTGTAACCTAGGAAAGCTCGCAGCCCATCTAAGACTTGTACCTTTATGCTCAACAGGTTCATAGCAAATATGATTAAAAATATGGTAACACTTACCCCAAAAGAAGTTTTGCTGACATGGTGTCACTGTGCTGAAGAGGCTGTTTGATGCCATAGTCCCTCCTTTTTTTTTCCAGATAGAACTTGTGCCCTCTGTTGTAAATACTGCTTGCAGCCTTAAACTGAAAATACAAACCATACCCAGTCCTTGTTTTAGTTGTACAGTATGCCTGGAGTACATAGACTTTATATTTATTTTTTTCTGTCAAGAAATTATGTAGCTGGTAACATGTGAAAAGCAAGAAACAAAACAAAAAAGAATGAGCAAATATTTGAAGGACCTACTATTACTGCATGGACTGTGGTTAGGGCACTCACTGACTCGGTTGGTCTCGGTGGCTGGTAGTGACCTGCGGAGATTAACCATTTAAAAACCAGAGCCTTCTTGCTGTCCTCCTGGAGAAAGTTTGCACCGCACTTGTGGTTCTGTGGTTGTTTGTGAGGCGAATGAAGCATTCACACAATCCAAAAAAGCAAAAGCTTTAAAACTCCTATTTTTTGCAAGCACTATTACTGGAGAGACAGAATCATGTGGTTTGTGACCTCACAGTACTCAAAGGAAAGTGGGACTGCCTACCACTGTGGCTTTCCCCCCTTGCTCCCTCTCTCCCCCTCTCCCTCTTTCTCAATCTTTTTCCTTCTCCCCTCCCCTCCCTTCTTTCTCTTCTCTCTTCCTCTCCCTTCCCTTCTGTCTCTTTGCTTATGGGTTCTCTCTCTTCCCTCCCAACTCTCTTCCACCCCCCTCTCTCTGACAAAAGGCTTGTGGTAAGGCCTTCCTGGCATCCAGAAGGATATAGCTTTTTAATTTTTGTGACTCATGAGGATTTGGATAGAATACAAATGCTGAAGGAGCCCACACTCCTGTAAGGTTAAGCATTTGGAGAGCAGAACTCTGCAGCTAAGGGTTTTCCTTTCTCCCACCTCCCTACTCCCCCCTTTCCTCCCTGCTTTTTCTTCTCTTTTCTCTACCCCCTCCTCCTTTTCCTTCATTATTATGTCTATGGAAAAGTGAGCAAAATTGGCTCAAGCGAGTCTGTGACGTTCTGAACAACAGTGCTGATTTGCAGTAATTCCCATCTTGGGATTGTATCACATGCAGGGCTGCTTCAGATTTACCAGGGTGGCGCATTCCTTCTGTTTTGCTTGTCTTCCTAAACTTGTGAATCTGTAACTCATTGTAAAGAAGTTTACCTTTCCGAAGATCTGCTTGCAGACTCCTTGCCTGGATTGACAGGAACTAGCTGTCACAAAAGTGTTGGCCTGGGGATTCCTTTACAAATATTAAATCCTAGCTGTGCAGTTGATTTTTTTTTTTTAATTAGGTGGTGGCTCTTACAATAAAGATTAAATGTAATTATTGTTTATATTATTTTTACATTGTCTAATGACTACTTTGAAGACTGTAAGAAACCAATGTCAAGCATTGTGAGATAGTTTGTTGGTTTGTTAGTTTTTATATGATCGGATTTTATCTTTCAAAGAAATGCTTGTAAAATTCTTTAGTCGGCTTGGGCAGTTACTTTAATAGGACTTTGAATTGCATATCTGCATATATAATGAAATATTCAGTAACTTTCATAGCTCAGTATTGCATTTTATGAGCTCATCAGAATAGAGTGGGTTAACAGAAACTGTATTTTTTTTTTTTTGTTTATAATGGAAGCTTTGAAATAAATTACAAAATGCTGTGTGTAGTAAGGAATAATGCACACAGACAGAGTATGTTAGTCTCGATTTGCTAATTCTGATTCAGAAGAAAATTGAAACCATCTTTGGGAAACTATCTCTTCTTTTGCCCTTTTGGACACGTATGTATAGAGCTCATTTTCTTATTAGGATGATTATATATCATAGGCAGTGAATTTCACATTTATGAATAGAGCTTCCTGTTTTCATCAGTTGGGAGCAATGGAGGATTTTTCAACAAACATTATAAAGGCGAGCAGACCAATTTTCTAGGCATTTTTTGCCATTTATCCACGCCACTCTGAATTTGCATGTTAGATTTCTTTCTAGTGTGATGGTAACCAGGAGTGGCATGAAATAGATGACTGAGATGGTGGGTGGGAACACGGAAGTACCAAAAATTATTTGGATTGCACAATGGGTGTAAGAGGGGGCGACTTGGGGATAGAAGTAAGGATTCGTGTATCTCCAAAAGGTAGCGCATTATCTGTCTTTGGTTCATGTTAGTTAAAGTTATCTATGAAATTATGTCCATAAGATTCTTTAAATTTTGTGTTTCTCCATATATTGGAAAGACATGGAAATGATTTTTAACCCCTTATTTTTCAAGTGTCTAGATCCTTTTTTCAGAATAAAGTGTTAATGACAAAACCACAGAAATACATTCTGCTGTTTGAATTTTGAAGCTAGACTCATACTTTACTGTAAAACAGATCTTACATTAAAATTTTCATTTGGAGTCATCATGCAGAGGAGAAAAAGTTACTCTATTATACTCTTTCATAAATAAAGTGTGCCAGTGTGATCTTCATCTCTGTTATTGAAAGTAAGTAAAAGGAGGGTTTTGTCCATATAATGTGTGGAGTTTCTGAACCTAGTTCCATATGTACATGTAATAGCAGCACTTGGCAGTTGAAGATATTTGGGTAGTTGCTCTAGGATGGTAAGCAAATGCTTTTCTTTTAGAGTACCCCGGTCTTTTAAGTCCTATTTTTTCATGAAATATTTTTCCCTTAAAAATTTTTTAAAGGTATATATACTCTGGTCATTTAAATTGACCCAGAATGAATTTGAATAGTTTTTACCAGCATCTCATTTGTTTTCTAGTTACACGGTCTCTTTTTGCAGGTAACCTTACTGCCTGGGTCTGTGAGTTATGGTCTTCACTCTCATCACACAAGAGTTTAGTAGACACTACTGAATGTGGCCTTTCTGGAGTGTGTGAGGCCCATCAAATCCTGGCAGGGAGAAAACACTGAAGTTACACTTGTGGTTTAAATTTGTGCATTCATTGTCCACGTGTCCCCCTCCCAATTCAAATTAGACTCTCTCAGGAGCAACCAGGACATTGCTGTAGAAACTTAAAAACAACACTGGGTGGTAACACCTTTGATACTGACTGCATTTCATTAGAAATGGCTGCTAGTGATGGAGAGAGGAAGCCTGCTTTAGTAAAGCCATGGTAGAGAGAGCTCTTGTTTAGTGACTTTTACCATGCTTGTATTCAGAAATGGAAACCACAGACTCTTTTTCTCTTTTTAAAGACCTTTAAAATTTAATCCTTTTGGGGGATATGCTAGCAGTTGCTGTGGAGTAAGCAACAAGGTCTACCCTATAAATTCTGTATTTTAATGCTACAGCAATGAAATACAACTTTAAATTAGAAATCAGGCTTTAAAAAATCATGAAATTAGTGTCTTGATTTCCCATTACTTTACAATTTAATAATGTTTTCCAAATTGCCAGCATTTGAATATAACAGTAATGTTTTAAATATTATATATTTCTTTGATGTTATCATTTGAATAAATTTTTATTTACTCAACTACATTTTAATGCAGTAGCGTTACTTCACCAATACTGTGCCAATATCTGTGTTTTTTTAAAAAGATTATTTTAGACTTATATTTGTCGCTTTCCTATTCTTTTAATTGAAAACAGTAAGAAAATGACTAACAAACTCTAGATGTCCACTCTGGTTTAAAATATTCTGCTTATGAGACTTGGGCTAAGAACTTCTTAATTTATTTTAGCTTGATATTTGCTAACTTATGTTTTCTTTTGTGGGAGCAGCTTTTCTTTTTTCAGGTTTTATATATAGCTCTTAAGCTTATCTAATATTTATGAGACTTTTATTAAAGCCTTGAAATTGTTCTGGGTTGTTAAAAGATAGTTTTATATTTTATATTGTGATTATGATATGTTAATTTTTACATCTTTATATACAATACAGGAATGCATATCTGGTTGTGATTACAGAATGTTATTTTGAACTTGATTATGAATTTTTAATTAGATAATATTAAAAAAAACAGTACCACAGTTTTCATGTTTACTGATTTCATGTGTGTACTTCTGGCAGCTGTCTATCTAAGTGTGCTGTAATATGCAGATTATATTTGTATGCCCAAAAAGAACCTTCTAAGTTATTGTTCACATCTTATCTCTTCCCTTCTTTCCCTCCCTCCCTTCCTATTGTCCCTCCTCCTTCATTTCTGGCCCTCTCTTCTTCCTTTGCTCCAGCTCTGGGCTTTTTTGTTTCTTTTTTCATGCTTTGACATTTCTATATATTCAGAACTTTCTTAAAATTCTACTAAGGAATACTGACATTAACACTCACTAACCTGATAGGTCTGAAATGCTGCCCTCTTTGTACACTGTTGTGTCTTCACGTACTGTGCCTCGGGTGTCAGAGAGCATTGGCATTTGTTTCTAGGAATGTTTATTTCTTTTAATCTGTCCCTTGAGTCTTTCCTTGATGCTGATTTACTTAAGCATATTGTTTTGCACGACATTAGCACTCTGATTGTGAGGCTCACTTTTTGGGGGTTACTTTCTGAAGTGTGGTGATCTATGCTTCTGTAATGTACCTGTAAAAAGTACTTTATGTTTCTTATTAAAGTAATTCATCTTGGAATGTGTCACTTTTGTAAGTTTTTTTTTTTTTTTTTTAAGTGACAACTTGCACAAAATGTGGGAAACATGCTCATATGACAGCTGAGGATGTGGCCAGACTAAAGCAGGAAACGACTACCCACAATGCAATGTTACATACACTACCACTTAATAAAATTTATATCAAACATGCTTCTGACCAAACCAAAGAAAAATAATATCCTAGCTATGCTAGTTAGTGTATCTAGGGAAAAGCGAAACTAACTTTTGTACTTACCCAGTAAGGGAAAGTGTGGGGGAGCCTAGTACATTGGAACCTTGCTTGTCACTTTGTCCTTGTGGTTTAGGGCTTCAGGTGACATTCTAAAGTGAGAACTTAATTGGTGTCATTTGTCTTTAAAGAAAGCCCCATAGGCTACCACGTTCTTGTTTACTTGAATTGTTTCAGGACTGAAAAGAATTAGAGGGTCTTGTCAACTATAAAGAAAAAAAAAAGGTACAATTTTAGATACTGGTTGGCTTATCTACACTTTTCATAGAGCCATGTACATTTTTTTTTTTCCCGTTTGTTTTATCTTTTGTTGCTAGGCAGGGGTTGAGGATTGAAAAAGGCCCACTGAGGCATACTTCATTTCTGAGCAATTGTTTCTCTCACTCTTGTTGTTCATTGACCCACACCTTCCCCTTCAGTCCATGGACTTGAGGAAGTCAGGGGTAAAGCAAAACTGAGTTGCTACATGATGTGGTTAAAAGGTATTAATGCATCTTATAAAAAAAAAAGATCAGCTTATAATATATTTAGTGTTTCCCTTTATAAGTCTTCAGCTGTTGAGCTCACAGCTGTCAAATTTAAGTAATTGTGATGAATTTAATCC